ATAATAATAATAATAATAATAATAATAATAATAATAATAATAATAATAATAATAATAATAATAATAATAATAATAATAATAATAATAATAATAATAATAATAATAATAATAATAATAATAATAATAATAATAATAATAATAATAATAATAATAATAATAATAATAATAATAATAATAATAATAATAATAATAATAATAATAATAATAATAATAATAATAATAATAATAATAATAATAATAATAATAATAATAATAATAATAATAATAATAATAATAATAATAATAATAATAATAATAATAATAATAATAATAATAATAATAATAATAATAATAATAATAATAATAATAATAATAATAATAATAATAATAATAATAATAATAATAATAATAATAATAATAATAATAATAATAATAATAATAATAATAATAATAATAATAATAATAATAATAATAATAATAATAATAATAATAATAATAATAATAATAATAATAATAATAATAATAATAATAATAATAATAATAATAATAATAATAATAATAATAATAATAATAATAATAATAATAATAATAATAATAATAATAATAATAATAATAATAATAATAATAATAATAATAATAATAATAATAATAATAATAATAATAATAATAATAATAATAATAATAATAATAATAATAATAATAATAATAATAATAATAATAATAATAATAATAATAATAATAATAATAATAATAATAATAATAATAATAATAATAATAATAATAATAATAATAATAATAATAATAATAATAATAATAATAATAATAATAATAATAATAATAATAATAATAATAATAATAATAATAATAATAATAATAATAATAATAATAATAATAATAATAATAATAATAATAATAATTATAATAATAATAATAATAATAATAATAATAATAATAATAATAATTTGAAGTTGTTCGAATTTATGTAAATTTCTAAAGCAGAGGAATTGCACTCCAACCAGGAGATATCCTAGTGAGCTTCGATGTCACATCCCTATTTACGAAAATACCTGTCGACGAAGCTTTGGAGGAACAGCATCGAAGACTAATCGCAGAGGAAAAAGATGAGAATTTAATGAAATTGGCAAAAGTGTGCATAAAATCGACCTTCTTTGCATTCCGGGACCAATTCTACGAACAAACGGAGGGAGCAGCAATGGGTTCACCGTTATCTCCAGTCCTGGCCAATACCTACATGTAACCTCTGAAGAAGAGAGCAATATGTCTCTCGAAACGTCAAGTGTTATAAACCGACAACGTGGCAACCAGCCCGGAAATCATTCAACCATTAACGACAGCCACGGAAGCCTACAAACAAAACTAAGGAGCGTCTTCGGGGAGGAAACCGACTTCGCTACGAAGAAACTGGAGAAGTACCGGATAAGAAAACAGAAGCTACTAAGCCAACTGGCCTTCTTGTGTCGGTGCCGAGAGGAATCAGTCATGCCAGGGTTCCTGAAAATAAAACACCACATCCAGAGCCACTCTGCTCAAAGAATCTTACACCGAGCCAGTACCTGCCTTTTACTTGAGAGAATCAGATACACCAGGAGGAAACTAGACCAAACTGAAAGGGACCTACTGGAAGTACACCTCAGATTCACCAATAAACTGGACAGAGAAGCCTGGGATTTGGTGGACAAATTAACTACGGAGAAAGCTTCTATCAGAGGAGAAGAAGCCACCACCAAGCAGAAATCCAAGTTCGAGAAGCTGCTCAACGACCAATTTCCGAAACAAGCCAACTTAAACAAGTCTCGGATCGTCATCAACCTTGCATCCATCCAACTAGATGAAGACACTACAGAGGTACTTGCCAAAGGTGTGAACTTCGCCATAGCCCCCAAGACAATCCCGAAGGAGGAAGGAGGAAATTATAAGTTCTCTGGAGACCACTTGCCGACGTCTACCAGCAGACGTGGCCGAAGAAGTGAGAGCCGACGCAGCACACGTTCTTCGGACTGCTAAACCTTCCAAACCCAACCTGAACCGCAGGGAGATTCAAGCCCTTAAAAATCTTCAGAAGAATGAATCAATAACAATACTGCCTGCCGACAAAGGGGACGCAACAGTCGTACTGAACGCCGTGGACTATATCGCCAAGGTGGAAAACCTATTGTTGGATCCCATTTACAAGAACATCCGAAACAACCCAGTCAAGAAAATTGAGAAGAAGATAGCCGCTGCAGTCCGATGCTCAAACATACCCAAGGAAGTTCACAGGAGGTTGATCCAAACCGACTCAAGGACACCTTAAGGACTTAAGGACCAAGTCCTTAAGTCCTTAAGGAGTCCTTAAGGACCAAGGACTTAGTAGGGAGGACAGAGCATCACGTCAAAAACGCCGGAGTCTTTATCGACAGGATTCGAGGAATTGCACTCCAACCAGGAGATATCCTGGTGAGCTTCGATGTCACATCCCTATTTACGAAAATACCTGTCGACGAAGCTTTGGAGGAACTGCATCGAAGACTAGTCGCAGAGGAAAAAGATGAGAGTCTAATGGAATTAATGAAAAACGCCGCTCTTCCCTTCTTGTATGTTTTGGTGGAGAGGAAACCAGATGGCACTTTAGGACATCGAGTATATAGGAAGCCAACTCACACAGACAGGTATCTGAATGCACAGTCCCACCACCACCCAGCCCAAAAACAGGGGATCATAAATACCTTAATTCATCGAGCGCGGATCATTAGCGAGCCAAGACACTTGGCCGAAGAACTAGAACACCTACGCACGGCCTTGAGAGGGAATGGCTACAAGGCGGGAAATATAGAACGAGCTATCAGGAGAAGACATACACCCATTGAGAAACAGGAGTAAGTAGTAGGTTATTATAGCCGGTGCTGAGACTCCCCCCTCCACTTTCGACCTTGGGGGTGACCTTGGGTGACCTTGGGATGACGTCATCTGTGACCTGGATGACATTGGTAGAGGTCACGGTGACCTTCATTTGACCTGTGCATATGGGAGGAGGCATTCGACATTGAATGACCTTGAAGTGGCGTCATGACAGTTGGTGACCTTCATTTGACCCCTACCGAGTTACATAGTAGTGACCAAAATTTTATCAATTACCTTGACTGACCTCTGTAATTGCCATACATAGAAGTGGTGAATGAATTGAGTTGAAATTGGAATGACGTGTTCGAATTGTAGTGGGGGATTTTCCATATAAGAGAGTAGGTCGCCCTAGAAAGACACATTTCGTTCAGTGTCAAACCTAGTAGTTATTGTCTACAGTAGTGTAAATTTTTGTGTTTTGTGATTATATTTTTTTGAAGTGAGAACAATTATTATATTTATTGCTAACTAGATATTACAAGGAATTACTTTTAAACAGAAAATGGCATTATCAAGTGATGATTTAAATAAAATTAATAATAATATTAACGGTGATTTTCATGATATTGTTCGAAGGTCAATCTCCTCTTTGGAAGTTGATACACCATATGTGATTAAAAAATTGTCTTTTACCATTACGCGTTTCGGAAAGTGCATTTTGGCAATACTGTTCGATAAGGAGAATAATTTATACTTCAAATGTTTTTTACCAAAGAGGGTTACAGAACACATAACAGAGGATATTTTGAATAAAATTAATTCTTCTTGGGAGCAGTATACGATAATTTATTTAGGCCAAAGCGAGCCTGCCTTTAAAGAAACTAAATGTAAAGCATTAATAAAATTTGGTATTGTCAATTAATTTTATCATTACATCTAATAGCAATAAATATATTTTATAGAGTATATCTTAGATAGTACATATTTACACTATTTAGTCAGTACCATATAAGGCTGTTTTTCTTGTTTTAAAGTTTAGTAGGTAATGAATAATTATTATATTATTATAATGTCAGTATTAATCATAATATTTCTTTTTTTTATAGAAATATCTATTAAAAATGTGGATGCATTATGCTAGCCAAAGCTGGTCCGAAGCTATGGACATCAAATCAGCAGTGAAAAGGTTGAGATGTGAGTTGTATTGCCTAGATGAAGACAGTCTCCACGCTCAAAATTATGATATGAATTAC